GAGAATTAAAGCAGCTCAAATCACTTACAACAAAATGAACAAAATCTGGCTACCAGTATTAAAAAACTCTAAAATTACAACAGCAAAACAGCAGAGAGGAAACAACCAGGCACAGCTTAACACCTCTCAACAAAACATTTTCCCAGGCTCAGCCAGGCCTTCAAATGCTAATGAAGGTGGTCAGTTGAAACATTCACACCTAGCTCCAGCAGAGAAAAGCTCTTTGCCCCACCCCAGCCATTCCACAGATATATAAACCCTTTTCCTACTTCCAACAGACCTCACTACCTCTGAGGATGCTTGCCATAGATGCAGGCGAAACGTCAGGAGAAATGCCTCTAGAACATGGCCCTATAGCCCAAAAAAACCCACAAGAACTTAGTGATTCCAGCCATGAAAGCCTTCGACAATACACTTACAACAGTTTGCAGTTTGAAATCTGTCAAAATGAGGACATTTTCCCAGTGGTTATCATGTGACTTCCATAATTGTTGTCATGTTGTTATTCATTCGTTCAGTTATTTCTGACTCTTCGTTACCTCATGGACCAGCCCACGCCAGAGCTCCCTGTTGGCTGTCACCACCCCCAGCTCTTTCAGGGTCAATCCAGTCACTTCAAGGATGCCATCCCTCCATCTTGCCCTTGGTCAGCCCCTCTTCCTTTTTCCTTCCATTTTCCCCAGCATCATTGTCTTCTCTAAGCTTTCCTTTCTTCTCATGATGTGGCCAAAGTACTTCAACTTTGTCTCGAGTATCCTTCCCTCCAATGAGCAGTCGGGCTTTATTTCCTGAAGTATGGACTTGTTGGATCTTCTCATGGTCCAAAGCACTCTCAGAACTTTCCTCCAATATCACAGTTCAAAAGCATCTATCTTCCTTCGCTCAACCTTCCCTAAGGTCCAGCTCTCATATCCGTCATAGTTTCATAAATTCACGAGAAATGTCAGAATTTGGGATTATGGTCAGACCTTGACATTCACTGAATTTAGGGAGACCCGTACTGTCTTCTGCAACCTATTAGATCAATGTTTTTCAACCTTCCTCATGCCGCAACCCCTTAATACAGTTCCTCATGTTGTGGTGACCCCCAACCATAATGTTATTTTCGTTGCTACTTACTGTTCTGAATCGTCATGTAAATATCTGATATGTAGGATGTATTTTCATTCACTGGACCAAGTTTGGCACAAATAGCCAATATGCCCAAATTTGAATACTGGTCGGGTTGTGGTGGGGGGAATGATTTTCTCATTTGGGAGTTGTAGTTGCTGGGATTTATAGTTCACCTACAATCAAAGAGCATTCTGAACTCCACTGACAATGGAATTGTACCAAACTTGGCACACAGAACTTCCATGAGCGACAGAAAATATTGGAAGGGTTTGGTGGGCGTTGACCTTGAGTTTTGGAGTTGTAGTTCACCTACATCCAGTGTGGACTGAAAGAATGATGGATCTGGACCAAACTTGGCACGAATACTCAAAATGCCCAAATGTGAACACTGGTGGATCTTGGGGGAAATAGACCTTGACATTTCGGAGTTGTACTTGCTGGGATTTATAGTTCATCTACAATCAAAGACAATTGTTGTGGTTGGGGGTCACCACAACATGAGGAACCATATTAAGGAGTCACTGCATTAGGAAGGTTGAGAAACACTGGCTTAAGCTTTTACTTTCTGCCTGAGTCAATTCTTTAATTTTCGGGTTTGTGAGCTTGCCTTTTCTCTGATGATCATTTCATTCATCATAGATATTAACTTGTTCCTTTCCTATGGGTTTCCCCCCCTCTTCCAAATATAATCAAAATTGTACTGCAAGCCTCTGCTTCCTTTCTGGATGCGCTAATCGTTCTTTCTTTCTTCCTTTATTTTGTATACCAGCTCCTCTTCCTTCTGTATTCATACAGTTAAGCCCATAGTCCTGGCACCTTTTATCTGCGCTTAACTCTGCGTCACCATCTGCTGCTTTGCAGAGGCTGCTGGGGTAAACACTCCTTTTTAATTGCCTCCATAAGCCTCAGGCCCTGCTCCAACTTTCCCTTGGCGCTTCTGCACTCTTACTTTCTTCTTACAATCTCCTCCAAGTTAAAATCAGCCATGAAATGCTCTAGAGAAGTGGTTCTCAACCTGGGGTCCCCAGATGTTTTTGGCCTCCAACTCCCAGAAATCCCAGCCAGTTTACCAGCTGTTAGGATTTTTGGAAGTTGAAGGCCAAAAACATCTGGGGACCCCAGGTTGAGAACCACTGCTCTAGAGTCCCTTTGATGTCCTGGTATAGGGTCAGCCCTCCATGTTCTCTGGGGCTAGGTGCACAAAATTATAGATCATGTTTCCTAATAAATCCGTATTTCCTTTAACCACGGCTTTTTTGCATTTATTATGAAATATACTATCTTGATGTCTATCCTAAATATCTTGGTGTCACCTTAGACCAAACACTAACATTTAGGAAACACTTCATGAACACCAAGCACAAAGTAGCTGCATGCAATAACATCCTGCAGAAACTTACTGGCAGCATATGGGGTGCAGACCCAAAATCAATAACAACAATAAACCTGAAAGACAGCCAACCAAGTATCTCTGCATAGTTTTCAACCTTAATTTTTTACCTTACCTGCTATGCAAGGAAAGAGGATTTACATAATATTAATGACCATCTCATCTCTTTTTAAAAAATGAAAAATGGTGTATTGACACAGTCTCAAATATTTCGCACCGCTTTGAACAAAAAATGGCAACCTTCCTATAGAAAAGGAATGTATTTTGCACAAAATACTTTTCTTTTCACAAAAACAGTTTTGCTGAAAAATTCAGTGTTTTCTGTGTATATAAAAAAAGGTTTTCACTATTTTTTCTAAAAATGCATTTTGGCACTAATACGTTATCATCATCATCACCATCATGATTACTAACTCCCTGAAAGATCTCTCCAGCTACTGCAAAGCCTAATCCTGCCAAGACACAAGTGTTTCCATCTATGCAGTCATGAAGCCAACAGGAAACTAAATGTTACCTGGGAAGGCCAAGAGCTCGAACACTGTTCCCATCCTAAATATCTCGGCGTCACTTTAGATCGAACACTAGCATTTAGGAAACACTGTGCAAACACTGCACAAAGTAGCTGCATGCAATAATATCCAGCAGAAACTTACTAATAGTGCATGGAGTGCAGACCTCGAATTAATAACATCAGCCCTGGCCTTGTCTTACTCAGCTGCCGAGTATGCCTGCCCTGTTTGGCACCAGGTTGAACATTGTGAAAGCCACCCACTTCATGGCTATCAGCCTCCTCCCAGTAGACTCAAATCAAGGAAAAGCTTAATGAGAACCCCCAATCCTCTTAATATTCCTCCAACGATAGCAAAAGCATCCTTCTGGGCAGCTAAACCAGGAAATCCCCATTGGATGCCCCACCACCACCATGAGTGTCTGCCTCCAGGGCAAGCCAAGAATGAGCAACTTGGAGGTCCCTGAACAGACTCAGAAGTGGAGTGAGCAGATCAAAAGACAACCTGGCAAAATGGCACTACCAAGAAGAATCCTCCACCTTGTGTGACTGTGGAGCGGAACAAACAACTCTGCACCTGTATGCTTGCCCACAATGCCCTCCCTCACACACTTAAAAGGGACAGATATTTAAAAGGCAGTTGAATTAAAAGCGTAAATTAAAACCACAGAAACACCCATTCAAGTACGACAGCCCTTGCTAGATCTTCCAGGTATTAATTTGCATTTATGAATCAAAGCAATATGAAAAAATAGCAGAAATAGTGCTTAGCACCGGGTGCACAATTAGTTTGTTTTATGGGTTGTTGTAGGTTTTTTCGGGCTATATGGCCATGGTCTAGAGGCATTCTCATCTGACGTTTCACCTGCATCTATGGCAAGCATCCTCAGAGGTAGTGAGGTCTGTTGGAACTAGGAAAAAGGGTTTATCTAGCTATGGAATGACCAGGGTGAGACAAAGGGCTCTTGTCTGCTGGAGCTAGGTGTGAATGTTTCAACTGTGCAAACACTGCACCACCTTGATTAGCATATAATGGCCTGACAGTGCCTAGAGCAAACTTTCGTTGAGAGGTGATTAGATGTCCTTGTTTCCTTTCTGTTGTTGTGCTGTTGTAATGTTAGAGTTGTTTAAAACTGGTAGCCAGATTTTGTTCATTTTCATGGTTTCCTCCTTTCTGTTGAAATTGTCCACATGCTTGTGGATTTCAATGGCTTATCTGTGTAGTCTGACATGGTGGTTGTTAGAGTGGTCCAGCATTTCTGTGTTCTCAAATAATATGCTGTGTCCAGGCTGGTTCATCAGGTGCTCTGCTATGGCTGACTTCTCTGGTTGAAGTAGTCTGCAGTGCCTTTCATGTTCCTTGATTCGTGTCTGGCCAATGCTGCTGCGTTTGGGGGTCCCTCTGTAGCTTGTCCACAGCTGCATGGTATACAGTAGATTCCTGCAGAAGTGAGAGGATCCCTCTTGTCCTTTGCTGAACGTAGCATTTGTTGGATTTTCTTGGTGGGTCTGTAGATAGTTTGTATGTTGTGTTTCCTCATCAGCTTCCCGATGCGGTCAGTGGTTCCCTTGATGTATGGCAAGAACACTTTTCCTCTGGGTGGATCTTCATCTTTATTCTTGTGGCTTGTTCTTGGTCTTGCAGCTCTTCTGATGTCTGAGGTGGAGTCTCCATTGGCCTGGAGAGCCCAGTTGAGGTGGTTCAGTTCATCTTGGAGGAGGTGGGGTTCGCAGATTCTTTTTGCACGGTCTGCCAAGGCTTTAATGCTGCTTCTTTTTTGACTTGGGTGGTGGTTTTGACTTGGGTGGAGTTTGTTTGTTTTTTTTGTAGCAATCCAAACTGAAGAATTAGGAAGCAACTGAGCACTTGATTCTCCTACGTCCAAAGCCCTAGAAAAGTCTTGGTTGACTAGTGGAAGACTGAGACATAAGCGGTTCCCATCTTCAATGCTGATTCTTGGGTATCTCTGATTCTTCTGCCCTTAATAGCAGTTGAGACACCATGATGGATAACCGCTTTGCCACCGCCCTGGTCATCGCCTGCGTCCTCAGCCTGATGTCCACCATCTACTTGGCCGCCTCCATCGGGACAGACTTCTGGTTTGAATACCGCAACCCGTTCCCTCCTGAAAACAACAGCGAAAGCAAGGCCACTTGGGACGAGCTCTTTGGGGAGAACGCAGATGAGAACTCCTATACGGATGCCCTCTTCCGATGGAACGGCACCATCGGCCTGTGGAGGAGGTGCATCACAATGTCCGAGAACTCTTATTGGTACAACTCACCAGGTAAAGCCATTCAAAATGCACGGGGAAAATGTGTCTTTCTTTCATTCCCATCCCATTACAGCCAGGCATGAGCAAACTTTGGCCCTCCGGGTGTTTTGGACTTCAACTCCCACAATTCTTAACAGCCAAAACACCTGGAGGGCTGATGTTCGCCCACCATGCATGCTCTTGATACTGCTGGAAAAGTAAACAGTTGGCTTGTGCATAATTTTGTTTTTAATTTGTACTAGCTGTACCCACCACACGTTGCTGTGGCCAATCTTCCCTCCCTCTTTCTCTCCTTCCTTCCTTCCTTCCTTCCTTCCTTCCTTCCTTCCTTCCTTTCTCTCTCTCCCTCCCTCCCTCCCTCCCTCCCTCCCTCCCTCCCTCCTTCCTTCCTTCCTTCCTTCCTTCCTTCCTTCCCTTTTTTCTTTCCTCTTTACGCCCAAATATGAACACAGATGGAGTTTGGGGGAAACAGACCTTGACATTTGGGAGTTGCAGTTGCTGGGATTTATAGTTCACCTACAATCAAAGAGCATTTTGAACTCCACCAATGATGGAATTGAACCAATCTTGGCACACTGAACTCCAATGAGCAACAGAAAATACTGGAAAGGTTTGGTGGGCATTGGAGCCCCCGGTGGCGCAGTGGGTTAAAGCACTGAACTGCTGAGCTTGTTGATCGAAAGGTCACAGGTTCGATTCCGGGGAGCGGCGTAAGCTTCCGCTGTCAGCCCTAGCTTCTGCCAACCTAGCAGTTTGAAAACATGCAAATGTGAGTAGATCAATAGGTACCGCTCCGACGGGAAGGTAACGGCGCTCCATGCAGTCATGCCGGCCACATGACCTTGGAGGTGTCTATGGACAACACTGGCTCTTCGGCTTAGAAATGGAGATGAGCACCACACCCCAGAGTCAGACATGACTGGACTCAATGTCAGGGGGCTACCTTTACCTTTACCTTTGGTGGGCATTGGCCTTCAGTTTTGGAGTTGTAGTTCGTGGACTCAAACAATGATGGATCTGGACCAAACTTGGCAAGAATACTCAATATGCCCAAATGTGAACACTGGTAGAGTTTGGGGAAAATAGAATCTTGACATTTGGGAGTTGTAGTTGCTGGGATTTATAGTTCACCTACAATCAAAGAGCATTCTGAATCTCACGAATGATGGAATTGGGCCAGACTTCTCACACAGAGACCCCCATGACCAATAGAAAATACTGAAGGGATTTGGGATACTGTGTTTTTTATGGTCTTTGGGGATTTATTTATTTTATTTCGAACATTTTTACCCAGCCCTTCTCCACCCCTGTGGGGACTCAGGGCGGCTTACAATTGGCAATAATTCAATGCCACATCATAAAATACAGAATAACGAATATAACAATTAAACATGAACATTAATAAATAAAGATTAAAACAGTATACTTACACTCTGATTAGCTATTGCCCGTCTGGTGGCTGTTTAGCTAGCCATCTACTAATGATTACTCCGCTTAACTTATCCAAATCCTCTTCCATGCCATAGTCAAACATTATCAATTGTCCTTTAACCTGATTGCCCGAAGGCCTGGTCCCACAGCCATGTTTTAACCTTTTTTCTAAAGGTGAGGAGGGATGACGATGACCAAATTTCCCCGGGGAGCAAATTCCACAGGTGGGGGCCACCACCGAGAAGGCCCTGTCCCTTGTCCCCACCAAGCATGTTTGAGACAAAGGCGGGGCCGAGAGCAGGGCCTCCCCGATCTTAAGCTCCAAGGTGGGACATAGAAGGAGATACGTTCGGACAGGTACGCTGGACCGGACCGCTCTGATAACCCTTTGCGACCCCCAGGTTGAGAAACACTGGTTTAGAAACACTTTAGAATCAGTTTTGTAAGTAACCAATTTTTTAAAATTATTATTATTATTAGTAGTAGTAGTAAACTTTATTTGTACCCCGCTAGCATCTCCCGCAGGACTCGATGCGGCTTACAAAGGCCAAGGCCTCAACACACAATACAACAATACAAATTAAAAACAATTAAAGCAATCTAAAACAACAAGCAATGAACAATCCACTAAGACACAATAAAACTGGGCCGGGCCAGAGTAAGGGTACAAGAGTTAAAAGTGCTGATGTGACAGGTGGAATATGAGGCTTATGGGCAAGTGCAGTGTGCGGTGTGGGGCGGTCTTGGCTTTAATAAAGTGCTTATGGGACTTGGTATTGGCACATCGGAACAGCCAGGTCTTCAAGTTCTTTCTGAAGACTGCCAATGTAGGGGCCTGTCTAAGATCTTTGGGGAGGGTGTTCCAGAGTCGGGGGGCCACCACGGAAAGGGCCCTGTCTCGTGTCCCCACCAAACGCGCTTGCGACGCGGGCGGGATCACGAGCAGGGCCTCTCCAGATGAACGAAGAGAGCGTGTGGGTTCGTAGACGGAGATGCGATCACGCAGGTACGCTGGTCCCAAACCGTTCAGGGCTTTGTAGGTAAGCACCTGCACCTTAAATTGGGCTCGGTAGATAAACGGCAGCCAGTGGAGCTCCTTGAACAGGAGGGTTGACCTCTCTCTGTAATCAATCGCACATGCCTATAGTAACCAGTAAATCTTCCTTAGGGCAAAGTCATGTGACCGGGCCCCCATCTCCACTTTGTAAAAGAACATAAGCAGCTGGGGAAATGGGATCAATAGCATTCTAATCTTAATGCAATTTACTTTCTCAAAATACACTCCTCCCGAGTTGTTGTTGTTGGGGAGGAGCTTGACTTGTGCCTTTTCCCCTCTTCTCTTTGGAAGTTCTGAAATCGTTTTAAGAACCGAACAGAACAGTCAGGGGATCTGCATCGAATGTCCCGCATCATAGCTGTTCTGCTTCTGAGAAGGAGAGGCTGATGGATAAATGCAAACCACAGATTAAAAACACAGGCACACCATTATTTTCAGAGCTTGGGAATTCTACAGTTTTGGGCCACCAGCCATCCTCAATGGTCAAAAAAATAAAGTTTTCACAACAGCAGTTTTGCACCCACACAGTATTATTTCAGAGCATGTTTCTCAATTGCTCTGTTAATTCTTAGTTGTAAGATGAACAAATTAGCACGAGAGAAGTCTACAATTATGTCTTCTAAGTGACGCCTGCCTTGCTGAGTCCTGTGCTTTTCCCTAAGCCTGTAATAACTATTTTGCCTTTAACAGACATGCGGTTTTCTCTCTTTTTTAAAAGGATGATTGTGGAAAATTAGAACCTGAGGCCATAGCCGCTTTGGCAGAATAGTATAAGTGGTATTAGGCAACTAAAACCTGCAGTTCATTATATGGGATTGTGGGAATAAGCCCCAATGAACGTAATAGGGCTTGTTTTTGTGTTGCATCTTGTGACCCTGAATGAACTTTCAACAATCAACAAAATTATTGCATGTCTACTTTATGTCCCATCTTTCTCCCAACACAGTTTTTTAACAAGAAATTAAAGAAAACGAAAGCTGAAACCTATTGGAACGACAGTTTGAAACTATCGAGTATAAGCTGACCCAAATATAAGCTGAAACGCCTAATTTTACCACACAAAACTGGGAAAATGTATTGACTTGAGTATAAACCAAGAGTAAGGAATGCAGCAGCTACTGGTAGATTTCAAAATAGATACCAATATAGATACCAATAATAGATAATAGATACCGATAATAGATACCAATAAAATTACTTTAATTGAGGAATCAGTAGGTTCAATGTTTTTTGAAAATTTACATAAAACTGTAATTTAAGATAAGACTGTTGAACTGATGAAATCAATATTCTAACCTTCTTCAATGCAAGTGTGTTTATGTATCCTTCCAATACTGTAATAATAGAGTAAAATAATAAATGTAATAATAATAATAATAATAGTTAAATAATGGAAATGTAGTCACGAGGAGTCGGAAACGACTGAACGAATGAACAACAACAAATGGAAATGTAATAATAATAATAATAGAGTAAAATAATAAATGTAATAATAACAATAATAAACAGAGTAAAATAATGAATGTAATAATACAATAACATAATAAATGTAATAATAATAGAGTAAAATAATGTAATGTTAACAATATTAAGAGTAAAATAGTAAATGTAAGAAAATAATAATACAGTAAAATAATGTAGATGTAATATTAGTAATAATAAATTAGGTAAAATAATAAATGTAATAAGAATAATAATAAATAATGGAAATGTAGTCACGAGGAGTCGGAAACGACTGAACGAATGAACAACAACAAATGGAAATGTAATAATAATAATAATAATAATAATAATAATAAATAGAGTAAAATAATAAATGTAATAATAACAATAATAAACAGAGTAAAATAATGAATGTAATAACAGAATAAAATAATAAATGTAATAATAATAGAGTAAAATGAATGTAATATTAACAATAATATTCAGAGTAAAATAGTAAATGTAATAAAATAATAATAATAGAGTAAAATAATGTAGATGTAATATTAGTGATAATAAATTAGGTAAAATAATAAATGTAATAATAATAATAATAATAATAGTTAAATAATGGAAATGTAGTCACGAGGAGTCGGAAATGACTGAATGAATGAACAACAACAAATGGAAATGTAATAATAATAATAATAAATAGAGTAAAGTAATAAATGTAATAATAACAATAATAAACAGAGTAAAATAATGAATGTAATAACAGAATAAAATAATAAATGTAATAATAATAGAGTAAAATAATGTAATGTTAACAATATTAAGAGTAAAATAGTAAATGTAATAAAATAATAATACAGTAAAATAATGTAGATGTAATATTAGTAATAAAAATTAGGTAAAATAATAAATGTAATAATTGCAGTAATAAATAGAGTAAAATAATGAATGCAATAATAGAATAAAACATGCAATAATAAATAGAGTAAAATGATAAATGTAATAAAATAATAATAATACAGTAAAATAATGTAGATGTAATATTAGTAATAATAAAGTAGGTAAAATAATAAATGTCTTAATAATAATAATAATAATAATAATAATAATAATAACAACAGAGTAAAATAATAAATAACTTTGACTTGAGTATAAGCCAAAGGGGGCTTTAAAAAGGCTGAAAAACTCGGCTTATACTCAAGTATATACGGTATATTATTTCAAGAGTTTAAAAACACATTAAAACTTAATAGAAATCATAAAAGCATAGCAAACCAATTAAAAGAACATTTTAGTGTAGTAGGTTAAGAGCCAAAGGCCTGCCTAAGTCAATAGGTATTTGACAGACAATGGAAAGATAACATTATGTAACAGGGTTTTTGTTCCTGGGTTACGAAATGCCCTTTCCTAATTGGATCTATCATAAAAACGTGGAAAAGGTTTATTAAACTTCAAAAACTTTTATTTTGTGGGACTTCTTGGAACACATTTTGCTATAGTTTTTCAATTACTATCTCATCGAGTCTCAACCAATTCAACACAGTTTGTGGCAGCCACAAAATCGAAGTTTCTGGAGTATGACAACTACTTTCAAAGTACTGTGTCTATCATACAATTAAACAGGAAATAATACTTTCAAATCAGAAACAGATTTTTTAAAGAAAATGTTACGTAATGTAATAGACAACCTTCCCCTGAAGATCATATAAGTTGAGCAAACTCATGGAGAATAATAAGAGGAATAATAATAACATAATAATTTTATTTATCACCTGCCTTTCCTCATGGATCATGTTTTAAAAGCCCACGTGTTCCCTATCACCAACTCTGATCAACATATATGTATAAGATAAGTAAATTATCTATATAAATAAAAATGTAATGTTCGTTTGTGGGATTAACAGAACTCAAAAACCACTGGACGAATTGACACCAAATTTGGACACGATACACCTAACAACGCAATGTATGTCCTTCACTCAAAAAAATTGATTTTGTCATTTGGGAGTTGTAGTTGCTGGGATTTATAGTTCACGTACAATCAAAGAGCATTCTGAACCCCACCAACGATGGAATTGAACCAAACTTGGCACACAGTTCTCCAATGACCAACAGAAAATACTGGAAGGGTTTGGTGGGCAGTGTCCTTTGGTTTTGGAGTTGTAGTTCACCTACATCCAGAGATCACTGTGGACTCAAACAATGATGGATCTGGACCAAACTCTACACGAATACTCAATATGCCCAGATGTGAACACTGGTGGAGTTTGGGGAAAATAGAATCCTGACCTTTGGGAGTTGTAGTTGCTCGGATTTATAGTTCACCTACAGTCACAGAGCATTCTGAACCCCACCAACAATAGAATTGGGCCAAACCTCCCACACAGAACCCCCATGTGGGCCACAGCAACGCATGGCAGGGGACGGCTAGTACTCTAATAAAAATATTTCCTTTTTGTGTTCTGGCAGGTGAGATGGTTACAAAATGTGTCAGCTTTTCCCTTTCGGATCAATTCATGGAGAAATACAAAGATCCCGGGAACCATAACAGCGGCACTGACTTGAACCGGACCTGTAAGTATTACTATTTTGTGTTTGGTGAAGAAAAGAACGGTTCACTATGCAAGTAATCCCTGCTGAATTCAATGCTTGATTGTTTTTATACTGTTTTATACTGTTATTATTATATTGCTGTTAAATAGTATATTTATGTTTTCTGATGTGGGCGCCATGGGGTGCCTGAGTCCCTCTGTGGAGGTTGAGATAGGATGGGATATAAAAGCCCGAAATAAATAAATAATAAATAAATGCGATTGCACATAGGATTCGATCCTTAGGGAGAAAGACAAGAGTGCAAATAGTCTACAGACATTAAAATAAATTAATCATGTTATCCCTCTTCAAGGATCAGCAAGTGGCAAGCATGCCAGCTGGCTGAAAGCTACCAAGTTAGCAAGCATGTTCTCACATTCTACATATAATTCCTGTGTTCATATACAATGTAATGAGAACTTGCACACTTACCATATATACTTGAGTATAAGCCGACCCGAATATAAGCCGAGGCACCTAATTTTACCACAAAAAAACTGAAAAAATGGATTGACTCGAGTATAAGCCGAGGGTGGGAAATGCAACAGCGACTGGTAAATTACTAAATAAAAATAGATACCAATTAAATTACATTAATTGAGGAATCAGTAGGTTATATATTTTTGAATATTTACAAAAATGGTAATTTAAGTTAAGACTGTCCAGCTCTGATTAAATGATTATTTACCTTCTTCAATGTAAATGCGCTTACGTATCCTTCCAATAATAATAGAGTGACATAATAAATGTAATAACAATAATAATAAAAAGAGTAAAATAATGAATGTAGCAATAACAATTATGCAGTAAAATAATAAATGTATAATAAAAGAGTAAAATTATAAATGTAATAATAATAAATAGAATAAAATTATAAATGAAATGAAAATAATAATAATAACAACAGAGTAAAATAATAAATAACCTTGACTTGAGTATAAGCTGAGGGGGACTTTTTCAGCCTAAAAAAGGGCTGAAAAACTAGGCTTATACTCGAGTATATACAGTACTTTTTAATCTGCAACTTCCAGTATTCAGCGGAAAGGAATTTCTCCCAAGATCTGAGTATACCGTATATACTTGAGTATAAGCCGACCCGAATATAAGCCGAGGCACCTAATTTTACCACAAAAACTGGGAAAATGGATTGACTCGACTATAAGCCGAGGGCGAGAAATGCAGCAGCTACTGGTAAGTTTCAAAATAAATCTAGGGTGATTTTTTTTTTGTCGTGTCAGGAGCGACTTGAGAAACTGCAAGTCGCTTTTGGTGTGAGAGAATTGGCCGTCTGCAAGGACGTTGCCCAGGGGACGGCGGGATGTTTTTTGATGATTTACCATCCTTGTGGGAGGCTTCTCCCATGTCCCCGTGTGAGGAGCTGGAGCTGAAAGAGGGAGCTCATCCGTGCTCTCCCCGGATTCGAACCTGCGAGATACCAATAAAATTACATTAATGGAGGCATCAGTTGGTTAAATGTTTTTGAATATTTACATAAAACTGTAATTCAACATAAGACTGTCCAACTCTGATTCAACCATTATTCTAACCTTCTTCAATGTAAATGTGCGTACATATCCTTCCAATAATAATAGAGTAAAATAATAATAGTAATAATAATAATAGAGCAAAATAATAAATTTAATAGTAACAACAATAATAGAATAAAAGAATAAATGTAATAACAACAATAATAAAGTAAAACAATAACAACAACAAAGTAAAATACTAAATGTAATAACAATAATAAATAGAGTAAAATAATAAATTTAATAATAACAATGATGAAGTAAAACAGTAACAACAACAACAAAGTAAAATAATAATTGTAATAGCAATAATAAATAGAGTAAAATAATAAATGTAATAATAACAATGATAAAGTAAAACAACAACAATGTAAAATAATAAAAAACCTTGACTCGAGTATAAGCCGGGGGAGACTTTTTCAGCCTAAAAAGAGGACTGAAAAACTAGGCTTATACTTGAGTATATACAGTATTTTTGTATTTAGTGGCTGGGTTCTGCAAAAGTCAATGGTATTTCAATTTAATAGGGTTTTTCTGCCATGCTTAGAACAGTCCTGGTGGCCACATAAGCAACTAGAAACGGCACTGAACAATTTTTTCATCTCATAGAGATACTGCATTTTGGCACAGCCAGGTTGAGGAGATATTCCCTAAACCAGACCCCCTAGCTATGATTGCCTCTTTGTTTGCTTTAGATCTCTGGCGTTTGCAGTTCCTCCTGCCCTTTGTCAGCCTCGGACTCATGTGTTTCGGGGCTCTCATCGGGGTGTGCGCTTGTGCCTGCCGCAGCCTGTACCCCACCATTGCCACGGGGGTCCTTCACTTCCTTGCAGGTGAGTCTTCTGGGTAAATGTCATAAAACAGAACAGACCCCAAGAACCATCCAGGCCAACCCTACCCTGCCATAGAGGAACACCCAATCCAAGCCCACCCAACAGATAGCCATTCAGCCTCTGCTTAAAAACATCCAGAGAAGAGACTTCATTGGACTCCTAAGAGAACAGCATATTCCACTGTCGAAGAACTCTTCCTAGTGTTTAAATGGGTTCTCTTTTCCTGCTATTTGAATCCATTCTTCTGTGTCCTCATCTCTAGAGCAGCCCCTCCTCAGTGTGACATCCTTGTGCTTATAGGATTGCTGACCAACAGGTCAGCGGTTCAGATCTGGGGAGAGCGGGTTGAGTTCCCTCTGTCATCTCCAGCTCCCTATGCAGGGACATGAGAGAAGCCTCCCACAAGGAGGCTAAAACATCTGGGCATCCCCTGGGCAACTTCCTTGCAGATGGCCAATCCTCTCACACCAGAAGCAACTTGCAGTTTCTCAAGTCGCTCCAGACATTTTAGATAGATAGATGAGTTGAAAACGGCTGTCATGTTCCTTTTCAGCCTCCCTTTCTCCAAGCTAAATTTCTACAGCTCCCTAAGCTACTCATCATACGGCTTGGTTTCCAAAACTGTGAGGCCTTCTCCCACAGACTAAGGCCTACCTCAATCTGTGAGTTCTTCTCCCACAGACTAAGGTCTACCTCACACTGTAAGGCCTTCTCAGACTAAGGCCTACCTCACACTGTGAGAACTTCTCAGACTAATGCCTACCTCGCACTATGATGCCTTCTCTCACAGACTAAGGCCTACCTCACACTGTGAGGCCTTATCTCACAGACTAAGGTCTACCTCACACTGTAAGGCCTTCTCAGACTAAGGCCTACCTCACACTGTGAAGCCTTTTCTCAACGAGAAACCGCTGTGAGTCGCCTTCGGGCTGAGAACAGCGGTATATAAGTAAGATAAATAAATAAATAAATAAACGACTAAGGCCTACCTCACACTGTGATGCCCTCTCTCACAGACTAAGGCCTACCTCATAGTGTGATGCTTTCTCTCACAGACTAAGGCCTACCTCACACTGTGAGACCTTCTCCAACAGACTAAGGCCTACCTCACACTGTGAAGTCTCTCACAGACTAAGGCCTACCTCACTCTGTGATGCCTCTCACAGACTAAGGCCTACGTCACACTGTGATGCTTTCTCTCACAGACTAAGGCCTACCTCCCACTGTGAGACCTTCTCACAGACTGAGACCTTTCTCCCACTGAGGCAAACTAACACAAAGGCCTACTAAGCCACCTGCTTATATAGAACTGCAGCTTTTGCTGAGTCATTGCATCCATTTAACCCTTTCAGTGCTCACATTTTTGTAATTAAAAATACCTAGTTAATTTTTAATATTTCTGACAAGAACTTCCTAATTGTGTGACTGATGTTCTGTTGTCTGCCCATTGCTTTCCCTCCAGGTTTGTGCACGCTGGGCTCGGTCGGCTGCTACGTGGCTGGGATTGAGCTGCTGCACGAGAAGCTTCCTCCTCCGCGGGCCCAGGGCCACTTCGGCTGGTCCTTCTGCCTGGCCTGCGTCTCTGCGCCGCTGCAGTTCATGGCGGCAGCCCTCTTCATCTGGGCTGCTCGAACAAACAGGAGGGAGTTCACTCTTTTGAAAGCATACCGGGTGGCATAGGGAGGCTTCCATCCCATCCCAAATTTCTCCCTTTCCATCTTAAGACTGGTTTGTTTGTTTGGGGATTTTTTTTGGTAGCCTCCATCCTCTTCTCTTTATTGTTAGTTGTTTACCCACAGAAAGCATGCCTCCTTGCCACTTGGAAGTGAAACAGGTTTTTTAAAAAGCTGAACAGACTTGACAAGCCACAGTGCTAGCATTTTTTTTTCTTGACCGAAATCTGCAGGGTTTTAATAAGTTCCTTGTGTTGTTTATTTTTAAATATACTGATATTTTGTTATTCCCAGTGTATTACATTTCTTTTCGTATTTAAGCATTTTCTGCCACAATATTTAACACGATTTTCAAGCCATAAAGGCTTAGATAAAAACTCAGTTTGGCAGTATATGTATCATGAGCCATTAAGAGATGAACCAGTGCGACCTTTTCCGTAAATGTAGCTTTGGAACTTAGATTGTGATTTAAGTTTCGTTCCTCACATCGACTACTGTGTCCCCTCCATTCTTTTTCGGCCTGATTGTTGTAAAACGGCTAGCGGTTTTGGGCTTCCTAAATCTTGCAAACTTATTTCTTTCTCCCTCGCTCCTCCTTGCAAGAGGAATGCCCCTTACGCGGTCTGATTTCTGATTTGACTAATGTATATCTGTACATAAATCCGAGTCTAAAAACCCTTTATTTATGCAAGACATTACATTTTTGTATAAGCATTACTTACGTCAGCTAGACGAAAACTTTTGTTGAAAAAAATAAAAAATAAACCTGAGCGAAAGGCTCATGAATCCTACTCATGTCATATGTGACGGAACATTAGAGCCCTGTTGCAAGCAATAATCTAGTCCAAAGTAGACACAGTGAATCTGTTGCAACCCAGAACAGGAAACTGGACCCTAAGACAACAATCCACCACACTTGACTTCAGGAAACACAATCCTTTTTATTGATGAATGATGAGTACAAAAATAGAGGGAAAATGCAAGGTGAAAAGTCACTGTAAAACTTAGCAACCAGAAATGTCCATGAACAATATAAAAAACCCACAGTAACACTGCTGAAACCTGGAACCTGTTAGCAAAGCACTAACCGTACTTGAAGCACTAGGAAAAGTCCTTGGAACAAAGCCACTAGAAGCAGGAGAATGCAAGAGATTGTTCATGAATCTGAAACGATGCCTGGACTAAATGGGCATCCAGGCCAAGCGTCTTTTAAGCATAGAAATCTCTTTTGTGACGTGCCTGAAGGCCGTGTTTGCATTTCTCTTAATCTAGCTGACCTACGTAAACTCTGCGCTTCGCCTCTGTTTTGCCAAATCTGCCCCCGTCTATTCTCGTTAGAGGAACCAGGTGTCCTATTATCTGGAGCGCTCAAAGGGAGTGAAAGTTCAATGCTTGGCTCTGAATCATTCTCATGGGAATTTGTACTTTCGCTTTCCAAAGCAGCAGGATTTTCACTACACAAACCGTCATCTTCTATATTGACCTCAGAATCATTGACACCTTCATTAACATCAGGAAATACAATCAGAGAGTCAGGTACAGGTTCACACACAGGCTGAACCCCAACAGAATCAATTACTTTTGTAATTTGCATCTGTAAATCTCATTGATTTAATGGGTCTATATGAATTGGATGTAGCAGGCGGATTAGAGTGTTGTTTGGGTGCTGGATTAGGACTCCGGAGACCAAGGTTCAAATCCCCACTTTGCTATGGAAATCCATTGGGTTGCATCTACGTTGTAGAATTCATGCAGTTTGACATCATTTCAACTGCCATGGCTCAATGCTGTGAAATTGTGGAAGTTGTAATTTGGTGACGTGCCAGCGTTATCAGTCAGAGGAGGCTAAAAACTTTGAGCAAAATTTTCTTTATTGTCAAAAGCAATTACACAAATAAGTATAAAAACTGATTAAGTAGAGGGAGCGCAAGCGGCTAAATAATTTTGACCAGAAACGGGCAACAGCGACTGCATTGTCTGTAGCTTTAAACAATTCTTCCTCTGTGCATGAAGCAGGGCATTGTGGACAAGCATACCGATGTGGAGTTGTTTGTTCTGCTCCACGGTCGCAGAAGGTGGAGCCCTTTTTCCAAGTTGTCTTTTGATCTGCCCACTCCACTTCTGACTCTGAGGACATTTTGTGTGACATTTTATGTATACAGCTACTTTGCGGATTCGCTGTTTCGCGGATTTTTGCCTCCTGGCAACAATGGAGTATGGAAGGGGGTTTCACCCTCCCCCTCGGGAGAGAGGCAGCCAATCATAAAAAAGAGAGAGAGGAGATATGAAACAGTATGTAAATAATGACCTTATAGCCCCTTCCTTGTAGCTAGCAAAAAAAAAAAAGGTGTGTGGTGCCTTTAAATCTCTCCTCGCTTCAGCCTCACTCTTGGAATGCAAGATAGATAGATAGATAGATAGACAGACAGACAGACAGACAGACAGACAGACAGACAGACAGACAGACAGATAGATAGATAGATAGATAGATAGATAGATTGAGATATATAAATGTAATGTTCATTTGTGGGATAAACAGAACTCAAAAACCACTGGAAGAATTGACACCAAATTTGGACACAAGACACCTAACAACCCAATGTATGTCCTGCACTAAAAAAAATTGATTTTGTCATTTGGGAGTTGTAGTTGCTGCGATTTATAGTTCACCTACAATCAAAGAGCATTCTGAACTTCACCAAATATGGAATTGAACCAATCTTGGGACACAGAACTCCCATGACCAACAGAAAATACTGGAAGGGTTTGGTGGGCATTGACCTTGAGTTTGGGAGTTGTAGTTCACCTATATCCAGAGAGCACTTTGGACTCAAGCAATGATGGATCTGGACCAAACTTGGCACGAATCCTCAATTTGCCCAAATGTGAATACTGGTGGAGTTTTGGGAAATATACCCTGACATTTGGGAGTTGTAGTTTCTGGTATTTATAGTTCACCTACAATCCAAGAGCATGTTGAACCCCACCAACAACAGAATTGGGGCAAGCTTGCCACACAGAACCACCATACTTAAGGCCATCCAGTCCAACTCCCTTCACCAGGGCAAGAAAACGTAATCAAAGCCCTCCTGACGAAGAGCCATCCAGCCATAGATATAGATAGATATATATGATTCACACACACACTGATATAGTATCATCGATTTGAAAGGGGGACAATTATATCTTGCATGTTCCAGAGTAGGCAAACCAGACAATCTCCACATTAACACTGACAAAGAAACAACAAGGAACGCTGTTTACCCACAAGCATAAAGGAATTACATATATTAGAAACCATTACTTTATTTTCCAGATCACCAGTCTGGGCCACAGCAACGCGTGGCAGGGGACAACTAGTATGTGTGTGTGTGTGTGTATGTGTGTGGGTGTGGGTATGTCCCTACTTTGTGGATTTTCACTTTTCGTGGGTGGTTCTGGAACGTAACACCCTCAATAAGTGAGGGAACACTGTGTGGGAAACACAGAGAGAAATCACAATGAGAAGACCAAGAATCCTCGACATGCAACTGACATTGGAGCAACCACCCAAACAGTACAGTAGTGTCATTTTTGTACCTTGAGCAAAATGTGGCCTTTCATACATTGCTGTACTGCAACCCCAGCATTCCTCACCATTGGTTATGCCATCTTAAGGCTGGTGGACATTGCAGCTCATTAGAACTGCATTTTGTTCATCTCGGTATAAAAACAATACTTTCTTCCACCAATATCATTATATGAGCAATTGTTTTGGCAACTGAAGATGACTCACCAGCTATGTACACTTCTTATATTGAAAACCCTTCCATTTAAATTAATTACAAACCCACATTTAGTCCATAATGGGTAAGAACAGATCTTCTGCTCTCCAAACATTTTGGATTACGTGTGTCATCATCCCCACTAACATTGGGACATACTGGTTTGGAACGATAAGCATTTTACTCACCTTGAAAGTGACAGATGACAGGAACTTGAATGCATAGATTTCTTTCCCATTATTGTGCATATTTTATTTCTTTTATTTACTTTCTCGACTTTCTCCTGATATAGGGACTCAAGGCAGCAACATTACTAATTGTGGTGAATTGTCTCATTTCTGGTACATCATAGCAATGTGCTTGTTTTTAAAACAATAATAATAATAATAATAATAATAATAATAATGGGTTGTTGTAGGTTTTTTCGGGCTGTATGGCCATGGTCTAGAGGCATTCTCTCCTGACGTTTCGCCTGCATCTATGGCAAGCATCCTCAGAGGTAGTGAGGTCTGTTGGAACTAGGGAAAAGGGTTTATATTTCTGTGGAATGACCAGGGTGGGAAAAGGACTCTTGTCTGCCGGAGCTAGGTGTGGATGTTTCAACTGACCACCTTGATTAGCATATAATGGCCTGACAGTGCCTGGAGCAAACTTTTGTTGAGGGGTGATTAGATGTCCTTGTTTGTTTCCTCTCTGTTGTTGTGCTTCGACAATACAATAATAATAATAATAATAATAATAATAATATAATAATAATAATCGTTATTTATACCCCGCCACCATCTCCCCAAAGGGGACTCAGGGTGGCTAACATGAGGCCAAGCCCAAGAGTTACAATAGAGCAAAGTAAAATACAACAAATAAATAATAAACATCAAAGCAAAATGCAAACAATAACAAATATACTAATAATTACTTTTTGGTTGAATTTTCACAACAACTAAAATAATTGAAAGAACAAACAGTAAAAAAGGAAAGGTCTGATTAAAAAATTGCCCAGGGGACTCCCAGATGTTTTACCATCTTGTGGGAGGCTTCTCTCATGTCCCCGTATGGGAAGCTGGAGCTAACAGACTGTAGCTCACCCTGTCTCTCGGCTTCAAACCGCTGACCTTCAGGTCAGCAGTTCAGCCGGCACAAGGGTTTAACCCATTGTGCCACTGCGGCTCCTAAAAACATTTAAAAAAAATACATCGACAATATATTAAAAAATATTTAAACAACCATTAAAAGTACAAGTGACTTACGATAAAGGAGTAAAAAAGTCTGCTAAGGTATCCCTAAAGCTGATTACATGGTATTCATATTATAAAAAAATTCTCTCATATGTGAAGGAGCCAGATTCCCAAGGAAGATTCCTTTTAACTAAAAATAATGAAAATTATGTTGAAGAGCTGAAAAGGGACGGATAATGTCTTTCGAAGTCCAGTATATGGGTGGAGGCATTCTACAATCATGTAGAATACAATTCTGCATAGAATCATAGAATCAAAGAGTTGGAAGAGACCTCATGGGCCATCCAGTCCAACCCCCTGCCAAGAAGCAGGAATATTGCATTCAAATCACCCTTGACAGCCTCTGTTTAAAAGCCTGCAAAGAAGGAGCCTCCACCACACTCCGGGGAAGAGAGTTCCACTGCTGAACGGCTCTCACAGTCAGGAAATTCTTCCTCATGAATACAGTGATTGCTGTGATACTTTGATCTGTTTTTTAAGTGAGAAAATACTTGGTGTGTATGTGGTAGTTGCTGAATCAGGTCTGGAAACTTGGAGAGCCTCGGTTCTTGTTTACTCAGGATTATTCCTATTTACTCAGAGCAGAACTTGCTCTCTAATCAGAGTGCTTTGGGATTTCTGCCTAAATCCTGCTGAAGTTGATGAAACCAGTTAGAGAAAACTAACTTAAGGTCTACTGTGTTGAGGTGGATGCATTCCCAGGTAAGTGGATATAGAACTGCAGAATTCATTCTGCAAATGTGCCTACTAGGTTATGGCTTTCAATGAGTAGGAGGAAAGATCCCTTAAATG